TGTGCAATCTGTCAGCAATTCAAAGCTATACATAATCATCCCAAAATACCACTACAGCCCATCGGCCCTTCACCCAATCACTACCTTTTAAGCAAGTTAGTGTAGATTTTATTACAGATCTATCGAAAAGCAAAGGCTTCAATTCAATAATGGTCATGGTATACCATGGGCTTGATAAGGAGGTAATTGTATGCCCTTGCAACAAAATGATTAGTGCACGAAAAACAGCTGAGTTATTCAGACGACAAGTTTGAAAATGATTTGAACTACCTGACAAGATCATTTCTAATCGTGCAACACAATTCACATCCAAGGTTTTTCAAGCACTGTGAAAAAGCTCTCAAAATCAAGTTGGCTAATAAGCACAGCCTACCATCCACAGATAGACAGTGAAACAGAGTGAATGAATCATGAACTGGAGACATATCTCTGAATGTTACGATTCCTAAGATACGAACACTGGGTAAAGTAATCAATAAGTTGAGGTGAAAGATAATGAAAATATTGAAGAAAAAGTTCAAATCTTCTAAGCATCTTCACTATCAATTTGTGATAAAAGTATTTAAAATAATTTTAACATCTTTTATTGTGAAAGATGATAAAAAGATTGAAAGAAGATTGGATGAAATATTTATAATTATTTCTTTAATCATTTGACAATCTTTCAGATAAAACTATGATGAAAAGTTTTAAAATCTTTTTTTACTTCTTTTTTGATCAAAGATGATAAAAATATTGTGACTATGTCACACCCTTGTTTTCATATACTAAGCTAGTAGTAAGATATGGAGGTTAATACTCAGGATTATATGTTAGCACTATGCTAGTATTAAGGTCTGAAGGTTAGTACCATGCTAGTACTATGCTAATAGTAAGGTCTGAAGGTCAGTATTATGCTAGTACTAAGCTAGTGCTAAGCTCTGCAGTTTAGTACTACAGTTTGAAGGTTAGTGCTATGTTAGCACTGACCTAGTACTCAAGTTCGAATGTTAGTACTATGCTAGTACTAAGTTAGTACTAAGATCTGAATGCTAGTACTGTGCTAGCACTATGCTAGTACTAAGGTCTAAATGCTAGTACTAAGGCCTAAATGCTAGTAATAAGGTTCAAATGTTAGTACTATGCTAGTACTAAGGTCTGAATGCTACTACTAAGGTTTAAATGCTAGTACTAAGATCTGAATGCTAGTGCTACACTAGTACTATGCTTCACAATATGTGCATTATCTTTAATGACAGAAGAATGAAAAAAGATTTTTTATCATAACTTTGTCTAAAAAATTGTAAAATGATGGAAACACTGATTGCTAATATGTCATCCAATCTTTTTCCAATCTTTTCATCATCTTTAACAAGAAAAGATGTTAAAAATATTTTAAATCCTTTTATCACAAATTGACAGTAAAAATGCTTCAAAGATTTGAACTTTTTCTTCAATACCTTTATCATCTTTCACCTCAAATTATTGATTGTTTCACCCAGTGGAAGAAGAGTTTATACAGAACTGAGCACTTAGAACGTCTATGCAGCATTTTTTGTTGTCGTGGGATACTTAAGCAAAGCGTGGGACAGTGGACCATCACAAAGTGATTTCATTTTCTGCCTCTGTCCTGAGGTTAGAAGAGGGGCCTTCCTTCAAAATGTTCTTACTACATAATGTTTTATTGTTACTGATGTTTGTTATCATTTCTAATGAACATACAAGCCGGAGTTTCAATCTGCATGATGCAGCTGATTCAAATAGGTGCAAATATTCTCAGCTAATCACAGGACTGAATTTGCTAGGGTTAATGCCTGAAGGGCTGATGGCTTCAAAGCCATTGAAATCATTGTATTCAATGGCTTGAAAGTGGTGCAAAGTGATTCAAACCATAACCATGACATTAAGCATTTTGTGATGTAGAATGTTAACATTTTTCGAACTTATTATAGTCTGTGCACGGTGAATGAGAATAGATCTTCATGTTGTATTGCTCTTCTTTCAAAATGTTCTTACTAGATACCATTTTAATGTTACTGTTGTTTCAAAATGTTCTTACTGTATAATGTTTCATTGTTACTGGTGCTTGTTATCGTTTCTAATAAACATACAAGTCAGAGTTTCAACCTGCACAACATGGCTGATTCAAACACGTGCAAACATTATGAGTCAATTGCAGCACTGAATTTGCTAGGGTTAATGCCACAAGGGCTGATGGCTTCAAAGCCATTGAAATCATTGTATTTAATGGCTTAAAACTGGTTCAAACCTTGGCATTCACCATTTTGTGATGTACAATGATTGGTTTGATATTTTCTCAATTTATCATAGTCTGGACACGGTCAATGAGAATAGATCTTCACATTGTATTGCTCTACATTTCCACTTCTTCATCCGCAGCATACAAAAACTAAACATATCACTGAGATTCATCAGCCTCATTTGGCTTTGATTTTCTTAATGGCTAATGAGGTATATATTTCTGACATTATATGTAACTCATGTTGTCCTCTCAGTATGAACTGCCAGTACGTAGAGTGTGCACTGTGGATAGCACTTCCAATCTGATCCTGAGCCACACTATGGTAAATGTGACCATCTTTTATTTGGGTGGTGGAGTCACCGATCGTGCTGAGGTCATATTTTTTTGCAGTCTCATACATTGTGACATTACTTTGTGGTTGTGAAAAATGTTAAGCCTGATAACAAGGCAGTCGATATTCCTCAATTTTCTTAAAATACAGGTGGCAAGTTGTTACGCATTGAGTGATTGATAAATCCTGCTCAGCGCTTATGTTTGTTCCTGAAATGGTAGCACAGGAAATTTCCTTTAAGAGACAGGCATTTAATTTCATATTTGGTAAGTATCAGTTGTTCTCCAGCCACCGCTGAAGAAAATGTTGGGCCTCATAACAGGATGGTTGGTGTTCACCAATTTTCTTGAAGTATGGGCCCCATGTCATCACTTGTTGAGATAATTGTAAGTTTCATTCAGTGCTTATGTTCATTCTCAAAATGGTCAGATGGAAAACCCCATTTAATATAGGCATCTGTTTCTCTAAATAAAATGGGCGTCTGTTGCTGAATTAGAATGTGATGCTTATTCATTTGACTTAGTGCCTGAATGGAAGTGTCTCTAGGGGCATGTTGGCAAAGTTGCAGTCACTGCTCAGATGGGATTAGACAGGTTTCCAAGAGGAACACATTTTCTGACAAATGCTCTGTGTTGCAGAGGCTCATGAGAAAAAGCACGTTTGCTATCACATCTGACCCCTACGTGCAAGAGGAGTCAAATGTGGTCCTCTCTGTTCTGACTAAAAGAAACAATGGTGATAGAGATGCTTTTATAATCTCTTGATTTATTAATCATTTATATAGATGTTCAAACAGTCTCTTTTGTCATACTGGCCATTGATGAAAAGGCTTTTCATTATTATATATCAGTCACAATTCAGAACATCAACTGAATGTGATTCTTCATGTCTGTATCAGTATAGGGAGTAAATAGTAGCTTATTGAATGAAAAGTTACTGCTATGCTCATGGCTTATTTGATCGCATTTGGTTTTCATCATCGACTTTCCATCACCGTGATGGGTCAGTGTAATGCTAAATCTGTTTGCATTTGCGAAAAATGTCTACGCTGAGGGCAGTCATGGTGTTGGCCGATAATTTTCTTCTTCCGATATGTACATTTATTATACAGACATTTGAAGATGCATTTATGCACCAATGTTGGGCATTATGGTGGAAGATTAATGAACTGCTTTCAGAGATTACTTTTTATGTAGATATATCCTTCTCAGATTCATGAAGGTTGTGGCACTGACTCAAGTTGGTAATGTGTTAATACTGTGATGTAAACTATTTTTTGTAGCTCTGAACATGCGACCCAGAGCCACTCGATGTTATGCATCGCACTTTCCTGATGTGGCTTAACACGCATGGATCACCGATCATGACATTCTAAATGGGGTTGGTCACCGGTGAGGCAGTTCTTTTCTCAAGTGCGGATCAACAAGATGTGTTCATATCAGCACTCTCAGTTTTCTGGGCATTGTGAGTGTTTGGTTATTATTGGTAGTGGCCGGTAATAACATTTTTGACCAAGTTTTCGATTCAGAGATTCCTTTATTTGGTGATATCATTGTGTTTGAGAATGGTGTCATTTGTGAGAGATATTTCCTGAGGATAGCAAGTAGCTGTGAGTGAGAAATACAGATTCTGTCAGTTCTTTGATATTTTTGTGTTCAATGTTTACATGCTTCATGTTCTGCTATCCTTCAAGGCATTTACCCTTGCTGTGTCAGCATTGTTGAGGTATGAGTTAATCTCTGAATAGGCTGGTATTAAATGTTATATCTAGGTTTGTCTGTCCATCAGTGAGGCAGTTCTTTTGTAGAGTTGAGATTAACAAAATGTGTTCATATGAGAACTCTCAGTTTTCTGCGCCTTGGAAGTGTTCGGTTAATGCTGGTGGTGGCTGGTAATAACATTTCAGATCGAGTTTACAGATTATAGCTGCCTTTCTTTGATGATAGCATTGTGTCCGAGAACAAAATCATTGGTGGAGACATTTGCCAAGGATGGCAAGTATTTGTGAGCGGAAAAAATCACAGATTCTGTCAGTTCTTTGATGTTCTCGTGTTCAGCGTTCACATGCTTCGTGTTCTGTTATCCTTTAAGGCATTTCATCCTTGCTGTGTCGGCATTGTTGAGGTATGTGTTAATCTCTGAATAGACCTGTATTCAATGTTATATCTAGGTTGTCTGTCCACGGACAGTGATGTTTGTGCAGTGTGGAGGGTCAAGCTCATTTACATGAAGGTGAGCGCCATATTTTTTCCATGAGATATGAGTACTTCTTACAGCATCCGGGAAATGAGGATGTTGCTTTCACATGCATTTACCATGTGTTGGTGTCATAAAGGCAGGTCATTCAGGAGTTCTACTCCCCCTCCCTCATTCTGCTCCTAGAACACCTTTGCTTGCTTTCTTCGCTACCCTTTCATCACTTCCACCATGTCCACACCCTCTCAGTCAGCGATCTCAGATGATGACACTGTGTTGGTTCTGCAAGACCTGCTTCAGAACATATTGTGACAGATACTGTGCACCCAGGTGATCGTTCTGCCGTGGGTCCCTTCTATGGATGACGACTTCTGGTGGAGAGAGTCGTTCGAGCTCTATGGATTATTGGTAAGCTTGTACTATATTTTCTGAGTTGAATGAAATGTATTGACTATCTCCAGGGCTGGTTAGTCTTTGTTAGATATGCGCTCGCTCGATATGGGGTTGCTGTTGAGGAGCTGTCAGTAGATGTTTGTGAGATATATGCAACTGTGTGCACAAGGGTGGAGATGTTGATGCAGTCTCACTTTTACCAGTCAGAAGCCATGCATATATTGAATACTCTTGATGACTGCGCGATCCTCCCCACCAGGGCTGTGACCGTTTACATTTATGGTTTGCTTCATGACACTGACGTTACCGCACACGTGTTTTGTCGTGTGTTTCCTGATCAAGCAGGTAACATTCTCGTTGGACTTCTGGATGAGGTAATTGAGGATGAGGCCCATGAGAATGCAGCCCTTGCGAGGCCCACGTTATGGTCTTCAATGGGTCCATTAGTGGTCACTTCATCATCTTCAGCACGTCCTAGAGTGTCAGTAGCTGCACGATCAGTTCATTGCCAGCCGTCACGATCGATTCTGGTTCTCTCCTCCTCAGTTTCCAGGAACTAGGCTGAACCTTCAGCATTGTCTTTGCTGGCATCTGTGAATCATGGTGCTGTGGTTGCGCTGTCTGCTGCCAGTTCATTGATCGAACACACTGGAGACCATCATGGTCATATGGCACCTGCGCAAAGGCCCTCTAAATCAAGCGAGGTTGCCACCGATCGTGAGATCAGTCATGATCTGAAAGTGAGTTCGAGTTACCGAATACGTTCTTAATATTTGAGCTCTCTTTGTTAGGAGCCATGCATCAGTTGTGATGACCCTGGAGAGGCAGCAAATCTGCCAAAGATGGTGAAAAAGCTGAAGACTGTGAGAAAGGCATCGCAGGTGAAGGTAGGACTTTATCAGCGTGTCATTTGTTTTTTTCATTCACCACGCCACTTTCAGATGGACACTATCATCGTTTATCATGGAGAAGAAAATCTCGAATCAGAGATTTCGGAGGGTGGTGAAGAGCAATCGGTGGTATGGTTATTTCATGCTTATGTGTCACTTGTTACTAACTCGTAATTATCAGGGGTCCTTTGCATCTTTGGCAGTGAGCAACAATGCAGTTGCGGGGTCATCGTGCAACCACACAGAAACATCATCTTTCACCATGGAGTGTGACAAATGCAGATGTGATATATCAGTTCCGCCTATTGACACGCTTTCGATGGCCTCTCCTCTGGCTGGATCACCGCCTCCATCTTCAGCCCCAATCGCTACCAACCCTGAAGTGGCATCTCAGATAGCAGTTCCATTTTTATGTTTGAAGCGAGATTCTTACAGTTTTTGATGTCGCAGGCAGATGACCATGCATATGTCAGCATCGAAAAGTTGAGCCAGCATCTGAAGCTGCAGTTCGCTGAAGTTTGATAGGCTGAGCTGCCCTGCGATATCTGTCAAGACCTGCACGTACCCTGTCAGTGGGATGGGCATTCCTGCGAGCGATGTCTTTTGAGGAAAAATGCATGCCAGTTGGTGAAGCTCAACCCCTTAAAAGATAGCGATACTCGCGTATGTTTTCATTTATTTTCTATTCTCCAGGCTAAATGCGATCGGAGTGGAGTTTTCGTGGTTTATTGGGCTGGATAATGTTGCACACGGTGAACCCATCCTCGTTCAATGGCCGTTGTATGGGCCATCATCTCAGGCATGAGGCACGTTGCCAGCTGAGATTAACTCACAGCTCCATCCACCTTCGTTGATCATGTGCTCTGCTGGAGGAGAGCAAGGTACCACGTTTGAGCCCATCGGCTCAACCTTGCAAGGCAGTAATTCCCAACGATGGATGAAACCTGGACTGTCACATCTCTCCACCACACCCTCCACTCTGCAATCTGGGCTGTCTCATCTTTGCTCATTATATTCTCATGTAGGGCTCTCAGCTTCAGGACCTGTGCCATCGCATTTGATTTCTTATGTAGTGCTCCCAGCTGTGAGCTCTCGAGGGGTTAAGCATCCACGGGAGTCCACTGCCAAAAAATGCTTGTCATCGTCAACAACTTCGAATAATCATGACAGAGAAGATGACCTCGACGTTATCCATACCCTGTGGCGAATTCACCAGCTTGTGCAACAATGATGGGTTGAGTCCTCAGCAAATGCATCAAATGCCAGTGCTTCAGTGGTGAATGAGCCTAGTGACAAAGGGAACGATGCGATCGAGAAGGATGACAAGGCCATCATGAGTATGAAGGGCTTCGAAGGGCAAGGGCAAGGAAAGGGTGCACGAGTAGGATGTGGATCAGTAGATTTAGACGGGTTTCGACCTTTTGTGCTGTATTCACAGCCTAGAGGGGCTTAAAGGCCAGGTTCAACATCTGGCTAATGACGTTCAACGGCTCTTAAATGTATTTTGAAAAGCGGTCACTTTCTGATTGCGTCTTTGTACCTATTAGTTGAATGTAAATTCAGTTAACGCGTGCTTAGTCGATTTGAACGAAGCCAGTTTGTGGACCAATCTGAGTTCATGTCCAAGCTGTGTCAGAGCCATGTCTGCGCAGCAAAATCAGTTGTTACAATTCTCATTAAAAGGTGATCATTACGTAGTAATCATGTCTCCTCATACCGCTAGTCTGTAGTACACTATTTATTCACACATATCCTCATCTTCATCCACATCATTGATGCCTTCCACGATCTTCTTTCATGGAGGGCACAATTTACCGCTCCCTTTCGATGTTGAGTCATCCATGCCAAGTTGTGCCTTACGCTCCCAAAGTCCAGTTAAGAACTCAGCCGTCCTCAGAACCTTGCAGAGGGTATGCTCTAAAGAAATGTGGTCGTATCGCAGTTCTTCGATCTCTTTGACAGATAATTCATCTCATATGAATCCATCGACTTTGCGAAGGCGTTGATCACACTTTCTTTTGCAGGCTTTTTTTGGTCTCCCTAAGTGGAAGGAGGTCAAGGAGTCGTAAACTTTTGAGTGCACCAGAATTCCAATTTACAATGGAATCTGTGACCTCTTCCATGTAGGTGACTTCATGATCTCGGTGTATACCATATCCATGCATGTGAGATATTGTGCGAGAGGCCCAAAATTCTGAATTGACTTTGAAGTGGTATCTGTAGGTGCCAGCTTATCTCCTCCTTTTGCAGCTCTTCTCAACAGTTTCAGCATATCTGAAAATGCAATAGGTCCATCATGCAGCATGCACTTAAGATCGCAAGTATTCACGAATTTCCACATGGCATCCACATTCTCAACAATTTGACCTTTCTGAAATTGATTGCTGATGGCTCGTCAGTTGCAGAAGAAGTCAAGGTCATCAATCTCATCTGGGAAAGTTTCTCCACCGACCATCAGATATTCTTTCCAATCCTCGAGCGATGTGAAGATCGCTCTTCAATTTGCTGGTGAAAAATCTGGGTGGGTATAAGCAGGGGAGCTGAAGATGATGTGTCGATAGACCAGTGCACTGAAAAGGTGATATGGTTGATATCATCTGATGTCGATTAGTGTGAGCCCACCCAGCGCGTTGTATGCTTTGCGAGAGTTACCAACTCACAAAATGGCATGTAGTGATCAGCCTTGCTTTCATCACCTTTCGTACGGTCAAGGATCAGTTTTCTTTCAGTTTTGGAATGAGCTAAACTGCCTCTCTGATCAGAGTCGTGATGGTGTTCTTGCATTCATCTTCTGGAAGGTCATGCACATCCGCAGTTTTGTTTGCTGACTGGTTTTCAGCAGCGGCTATCATGTTCGCTTCAGGGAGAATGGATGATATAATGGTCTGCGCTGGGTGTCCTGATGGTCTGGATGGTCCTTCTGCATGTAAATTGGTCTCAGCCTGAAAATCAATGCATTTTTGGTGCAGCTGTTTCAGGGAGTATGAGTCGAGGCCATCATGAAGCTGAAAAGAACTGCGATCTAAAGCGTCAATTAAAGTTGCTCATCATTCCAGGACACAGGTCACGTGGGCTATTTTGAATGTAGTCATTCAGTAACCAGAGAGGTGTTTTCTCATACATCTCTCAAGTTGAAGGCAACAGGAGAGCACCAGGACCGAGGCACCTGAGGAGAATATCGATGAACTCTGTGCGGAGATTTACCATAATGTGATTCATCACATCCATCCAACGTAGAATGATAACCATAATGATCTGTGAGATTTTCGTGTTGCTTCAGATGTCAGATAGCTGAGAGTTTTTCTTCGAGCAAAATTGATATTGGTGACTTGGAGTGAGGGATGGAAAGAAACCATTGGAGTCTACCGTGAAATTTGCTTTCATAAGGAGTTTGGTCTTCACCATCCAGATCAGATGTTCGAGCCAATTCACTTGCTCTTGAGCTGAGATCGGTTCAGTCAGTTCATGGTAACATTTACTGAGGAGTCGCTGTGTCTTTTAATGACAGAGCTTGATAAAATGAAGAGATCCAAACCACTCTGACAGCATGATTCGCTGACACACCATTGCATGCGAAACACGCAGAAGGTCAGCATGGGTGCGCAGATTCTCGTTTTCCTCCCAGTGCTGTGAGGCTTTGGTAAAGGAGAGAGATTTCTTCATGTTTCAGATCCTTATGGTGTCAAGGGAAGCTAAAATGTCTTCAATGATAGACGACATCTCTTCCTTGATGGTGTTCAGTGCCCAGTCAAATTGCACTTGTTTTTCGACGCATTTCATGGTAGTGAGAGAGTTCAAATAGAGTTTGCCTGGACAGTGAGATAGCATGGTTACAGATCAGAGGTGACACCAACAAAGTGTTGCTTACGATATAGTGGCCTTTGTGTTCCGATGGGTCGAGGTATGCTCACTCTTCCACGTTCGTTCTTGTCCCCCTCATTGTCCTCGTCCACGAACACAGCTGGAGGATTTTCGTGCTCATCATCAGGAGTCGCATGCATATTTTGTAGAAAATCAGAGGTCATTGCCTGATGGTCTGTATGAGTATCTGAAGTTGAGCTGTAGGCTCAGACGTTGACACATTCATTCAAGTCCTTGCTTTGTGATGACAGTTCATTGCAGAGAATGTGGTGGTAAGATGGTACGACCTGCAGATGATTTTTGTAATTCACATACTGATCGTGCACGGTGTCTTGACACTTTTAATACCAGAATTTGACGTGCTCTTCACGCCGTCTCCATACAGATCAAACTGTGTATGTTCATCACCATTTACCATCTCATACATCTCGTCTCTTGCTCTTCTTCCTTCGGAGGAAGTGGTGTGGATGCTGCACTAGCAGGTCTGGCTTAGGATAATTGAGAGTGGGTGAGCTCATTATCACAAAAAGTGGCCACACCTTGCATATACTTCGGGTTTTGAAATGCCATGGGCATGGTTCGCTTTGCACTCATTGATGGTTGTACTGCTGAGTGCATCTGAAATGCTGCATTGATTATTTAGAGTGTGGAATGGAAGAAGATCGTGGAGCAACTCTCACACTTTTTCTTCATTGCCTGCTTTGTTCCTCCTGCGGATCATCTCCATCCAACAATCGTTTCAGTCCTACGATCATTGTTAACAAATAAAAAAAATGAGGATATACCTTTCTTGCTTCGATAAATGGGTTTTATGGATAAGCTGGCATATTTTATTGGCACCGTAGGAATATGGCGAGCCATCTTCTCATAAAAATCACTGAGGACATGTTGTCGAATGTTAGACCTGGACAGCTGTCGAGACGGCATGTGTTCTAAGATGTCTTCATCATCACGATGTGAGTGTATAGCCAGTCCTAGAGCCAAATCTCATCTGGGGAGGCCGACACATTCGCGTTGATCATTACCAATGATGAAGAATCGAAGTGAACATGATATGTCACAGGAAGCTGCGAAAACATTGTGTGAGCAAGTTGCAATGTCACTTGGGCCATCCATGAGATGTGTTCAACAGGATCCATCATGAGCTGTCCATCTTCAGCCAGGTTTGAGTGATTGGTCCAGGATCTGATCTGGGGAACGCTACATTCATCCAGGGGAAGATGACAACTGTTAAAGACAATCAAATTAAGGTTTATGATACATGGTGGGATGTGAGGACTTACTTGACACCCGTAATCTCAGGGGTTATATACAGTGAGCCACAAAACTGTTGCAATGTTTGCAATGGGCACATTGTTTGGCTTATATCTCAGGAATCAGAGTAGCTATATATGCAAACTTATATATATCAGAAAGGCTATGATATGAGCTTTCAAATGATATTTGAGTGGAGTAAATCGGCCTTATCTTTGTTGAGATAGAAATTATTCTTTATAAAAAGTGCATTGCAACAGTTTTGTGGCTAACAGTTTTATTATAAAAATTTCAAACTTCAGTACTTTGTGTACCCTCCCTTTGTCCTCAACAAATCTCTAACCCTGTCTGGCATGCTATTGATTATATTTTGACAGACAGAAGCCTCAATACCACTTCACTTCTTTTGTACCCTATTCCAAAGTTTTATAATACCTCCAGGTGCATTTTTGCCCGTTTCAGCCTTCTTTTGAGATGGTGCCAAAAGTGATCTATAGGATTGAGATCTGAAAACTATGCAGGCCATACATAATCTTAAATCTATGCTCCTCTAGCCACTTCTTGGCTTTCTTGCTGGTGTGCATAGGGTCATTGTTTTGCTGAAATATTACATTATTCACAGTTTTTCCCTATTTCTCTATGCTATTCTGAAGTTATTCCTTCAGAGTAGAAACATAAAGGTCTACATAGATCTTGCCATCCATCTTGCAAGCATATCCAATCCCCTCCCAGTATATATACCCCCACATTATCAGGTTTCACCTCTAAACTTGAGTGTCCCTTCTACCAGCCTATCGCTGATCCTCAACAATGGTAAAGCCGATTTACTTCATCTAAATGTCATTTGAAAGTGCATATCATAGGCTTTTTAATGATATATAAGTTTGCATATATAGTCATTCTGGTTTCCGAGATATAGTCATTCTGGTTTCTGAGATATAAGCCAAACAATGCAACCATTACAAACATTGCAACAGTTTTGTGGCTCACTGTATAGCGGCTCATTCGACTTACACGTCAGAAGTTTTGTCATTTGATCCGAGACAAAAGTAGTGACAGAATTTGAATAAACATATGAAATGTTCTAGGATAATATCTCTTGGAGGACATCTCAGCTGTTTTCCTAGATAGGACTTGATGGAACAGTTCTTATCTTATTAGCTCTTCTGATTTGGCTGACAGTTCAACAGCTCAGCCAGGTTGGCAGCAGAAACAATATCAGAAAAGGTAAACTGACTTAGGATAGAAATGGTATCCTCAGTAAAATCAATGATAAAATTTTAATTGTTGTCTTGGGTTAAGGTTCGGACTGTCCACTGAGAGAAAAACTATGAGAACTGCAGTAATGTTCGCTCTCATGTTTGCCGGAACTAAAGCTCAAATGTTGTTCAATTTTCTGCTCATCGGCCGATTTTGCGGTCGCTCAAAAGCTGGTTATCGGCTGCTCAGTGGGATGCTGACCAGTCGTTGAGTACACGATCATCCCACTGTTCAACTGAAAGATGGCTAAGGTGCGGCTGATCTTCATAGCTGTCACAGGTGCAGGATTGTCGATAATCATGATGCTAGAGAGATTATTACTCATATGCATAGATAAAAATGAAATGTTACATTGCATGCAAAGAAGTCTGATTCTAATCCACATACAGTACATGACTACTGAACAACGCCATGATGACAACAGTGATCATTCATGCTTGTAATATGACTGCAGGAAGGACCTGCAGCAGATGAGCTGCTTGTCATGAATATACGAGCTCATTTATCCCAATTTCTAAGCGAGCTTCACCATTCTGTATTAGTGCATGGTGAACGATTGCCCTTGTGGTAACCGTCACGAAGGTCATGAAACCAGCTCTCAGCAATCAGACTCCATCATCCAAAGTTGAGAGAACTGCTCTCAACTACTTTCAGCTCAGGTCACCACATTGGGAAGGAAGCGTTCACGAGATATGGCAAAAATTGGTCATGAGATGAGCAGATATACGTTCCAACAATGACACTGACCTCATCGCTTGAGAGATCATCGTCAACATAGACGTCGCCAATGCTGTTGACAAACTGAAACCCGATACCCCACATAAGCACGAAGTCATCTGGACCACTGAGTATCACACTGGGCTGGAGCATTTCAAGGGTCAAGCACCACACTATTCCTCCCTGCAGCAGTGCAGCATGAGTGACCCGTGATTGGCTTCGCAACAGAAAGTCATGGGTGGCCTTGTACACTTGATAGTCCAGCGATGTGAACTGGTAATTGGTGTGACACATGATGAGCCAAATTCGTGAATGAGGATCGTGCATTACTTGTCATTGTCTGAATCTTCGAGTGACCTCTGGAGAGTAGACAAGGGTGCGGAAGGTCATGCCTGTTGATTGTGTTTTAGGAATGCCCTGACAATCAATTGTCAAATAATCTTACCTGATGCCACCATGAATCGTGCAGCATCCTCAACGTTCTGGACAGTGAGGGTGGTAGCGAGAGCTGTAGATGGGTTTTCAACAGCAATGATCCACTTTCGCTTGCGTCTCAGGAATTGTCGCTCATCTATGTCCCACAATTCTCTGACGTTGTGTCGGACATCAGATCTGTGAAGGGAGATGATGCACAATCCTGACTTATTCAGCTGTGTGCGAAGAAGATGATGTGAGGTTGAATGAAGCAGCCACCAGTTAGCAGGAAGACCTTTCAGCTGGACGATCATCTGAGAGACTCAGGCAGTGAAGGAGTTTCCGTTCACCTTGCCACTGGTTACAATGTCAGAACCGTGCTTAGACAGAAAGTAACCAATGGCTCTGCAGGTGTTGTCGACAGAAAGCAATTTATTGACCTGTATTGATGTCGTGCTCTATTGGAAAGCATGGCGCATAGTCATTGTGTCTGAGAAATTGATCACGTCAGGTATCTCTTGCTTGTCATTAGTGAGATATTGCATATCGCTCAGAAGCTCACCATCTTCGGATCCAGCCTGAGGAGTTCCAGGTACTTTGTCCTCATCTTCGTAAGGAGCAGCTGCCTCAACCTCGACCTCATCCTTGTGAGGAGCTGCCTCAATCTCATCCTCGTAAGGAGCTGTCTTGATCTCATCCTCGTCCTTATCCTCGTAATGATGCATCTGATCGTTCAGTGACAAAGGATTGAGCTTGAAGTCATCGTCACTGAAGAACATCTGGTCAGGCTGATGATCCTAATCGAGATTGTCATCCTCGTCATCTGAAGTCTCCACCATGCTATAGGCCTCTGTCATGCTTATGGGCTTGGGTTTATACTCAATGAAACATGCAACATCCCACTCCTAGGTAACAGAATCATAGCGTTTGCAGGCCGAATTATACATTTTCCACGTGCTCAGTCGCTCTCTGCACTGTAGATGATTTCACTTCCACTTCATGCTCTCCGAATCGAAGAGCCACTCGAAGATCTCATCGTGTCCCTTCGTGCTGATCTGATACTGTTTTGCATTGTTCTCCCTGTTCTGTCGAGACAGTTTTTGACACGATAACTTGAACTTGAAAATATACTGTGCTCTGTAGGCAGTGCGGCATGCAAAAAAGGCACCAGTGTCTCATCATCTATATATTTTGGAGGAGATGACAATTTCTCCTCCTCATGAATGGAGGAGCCATTTCACATATACAGCTTCTTAGTCGAAGAACGGCAGTGTGGCAGAGGGTTTTTGCTCGTAGAGTCCTTGCTCATAGATGGAAGAAGGTCTTTGCCTGTAGATGCACAGTCTGCAATAGACACACGATGCGTGACATTGGAGGAAGATAGCGGTGATGCACCAAGGCTGGTGGATGTATCCCAGGTGAAAGATGATGATGCCCAACCTGCCATAGTGGTATCATGTGTGCGAGAAATCGATGATGGGACAAAGAAGTGCGACTGCATTATTGTAAGATCATGCCAGGGAGGACGAGGAGACACGTCTCACACTGTGCTAATGGCAGATGCTGTTGGCTGCAAACCTCCTGTGCCATATATGCCAGGGTCCAGTTTCATCGACTCTACAGGACCCCAGTCAATGAAGACAGGAACATTGGCAATGATGAGAGCAGGAACCCATTGGTACTAATTGCAATGGAAAGGATCGATGAACACACCCGCACGCAGATTATTTGAGCTGAAGTCAGTCAGAACATTTGATGATAGCTGATCAGCAATGTGGCCCTGCAGCCTATTCTCAACAAGGATGTAATATCATTTGTGTGCATCTTGCGACTTGCCCCCAGATGATGGCAATGTAGAAGGAGATCACTGCGACATGGTACATGAACTTTTTGTGAGCAAAGAAAGCCCGTTTGCGAACAATGATCTGATCTGGCAGTCACTTCATATAGCGCTCGGAGGAGGATCTACAGAAAGTGGGAGCCTCCAAGCTGACCAACACTGCAGCGGCAGCATTCAGCACATTCTGCGCCAGCACAAGCAGCTCCTCAAGGGTGAGTCACTTCTCTACTGTAGCAACTTGATACAAAGGTGTCTCTCCATTTCGCTTTTCCTCCAATGGTATATCCTTTTATTGCAGCAAAGGCAGTTTCTCGAAAAATGGCCCCAGGAAGTGTGACACTTTCAGGAAAAATGCGAGCTCTGGGCAATCATTCCTTGCTCATCTGCAGATATCCCAGCGATCATTGAGGATAACGGGAGAGGGTGAACCACCTGTGGGAAACTCAGTGCGTGTGGGTGATGAGAACACTCACCCATTGTAAATGAACATGCTGAGGGTCACCTATTACAAACAATAAATCAGATGAACTGATGACTTTTTTCTGAACACTTACGGAAGACATTGAAACAATTGAAAACAAATTTGGGTCAGCGAGCAGGAGGGCAATGGGTATGTATTGACTGCTGCCAACACCGGGGCTTTGCAAGGGGGGAGGAACTCACAATGGTCAACACTGATATGAGCTTTGAGATTTGAGGGTGAGGAACTCGCAACGGTCAACACTGGTGTGAGCTTTTGAGATACGAGGAACAGAGTAAAGAAGTGAGTCAGCACATGAAGAGTCAGCACGTGAATGTGAATTGGCTGATCAGATTAGTCACCAGCTTAGTCATTAGCTTAGGTGTCAATGTTAGTTCTGTAATTGACCAAGGTCCCTCCTTTCTTATGATCATCCCCACACTCTCCCACGCCTCTTCATGTCTTCTCTTTCTGTCCTAGCGGTGTTGACCACTAGGACTCTTCACATCTCATACTCCTCATCTTAGCAGTGTTGACCGCTAGGACTGATGAATCTCATGATCACGTCCATGTCTCAACGGTGTTGACTGCTGAGATAGCTATGACCACTGAGATGGCTATGTCCGATGACTTTGCTTAGAGCGGAAACCCTCCATGGCATGTAAAATCATGGATACTGATAGGTGAGTTCACATTTTCTGTTCATATCTGCGATTCAATATTTGATGTCCTCGGTGCTTCAGCTCATGCTACATGAGACGTATTAAGAAGCGTATCACCCATTAATGAATGTGGATCCTCCACCACTCTGTCATATCCAGTCCTTCAGCCATCTATGAAGGTTTGATTGAGAACTTCGCATGATGTAGATGACCACAGACCTACCTCTCCTTTGAAGATTGCCAGCAACCCAACAAGAAATATCATTACCATCAAACCTTCAGAGATGGCACGTATAAGGACTATGAAGACATTTGGGGAGACAGTAGTCTCCGCATTGATGTTCCCAGTCATGTCTCCAGGTCCCAGTCCAAAGTGGACTTTTTTAGACTGTCGGAGCAGTGGATGTGTGGTCTCCTCACTCAAACATATGTGTTGTCATGTCGACAGGGTCCTCTTTCATATAGATATTAAGGGTGCATCATTCGAGAATGAAGCGCAGATGATCCTCGAGATTTTTTCATTCCAGTGTGTCTACATAGGCATTAGTATGATTCATTTGAGGCACAAAGAGTTCTTTTGCACTGTGATGCTCTGCACCAAGCCCTTGGGTGCATGCCCCAGTACATCTATCAGTTCACCACCCTTTTTGTCGAAGATGTAGACCTTCCCGTGATCACTGCCGGTGATCACTACATGCGAGGATTCGCAAAAAATGACTGGTTTAGGCAAGGTCATTTGCGATTCACCTGCTGTGTAGGTTGCGACCTCCAGTCCAGAATTCATCTGGTGTAAACTAAAACTGTCCATGTGATTGACAAGCACCACACCCTTGTCTGTGAATGGTCATGTGTAGGTGTGGTATACATCGATGGACATTCTGTCATAATCACTCACATCACATCGGTCATCCATCTGGGTTTCGATAAGATCTCCCCTGTTTGGACGCTGATGGAGCACCTATTATCATTGTTGTGAGCTTGTAAAAACTAGCTCAGATGCTGGTGGCTCACATGTGGCCATCATGGAGACTGAACATCCACATGTTCCCTTCATCTGGGAATAACAACGCTCTCAGGATCATACTCCATGCCTTGACATGAAAGTGTTTCTGCGGTGCTCACCCATGGGCCCAGTCAAAGCAACAGATCTGGCCATCTGTTGTGTTGGCAGCAATGCGATGACTTTCTTTCAGAATTGTTGTGGCAAGGGCGATAATTTCGCTTCTGCAGTTGACTCACACGCATATCTCATGCCGGAACCTGAGCTATGAAAGTATTGTTAGCACTTGCATAGGTGAAAATTGCGATGGTCACCTCTTTATCTTTCATAAATATGTGAATGTATCCATAATGGGTGCCAAATAACACAGTGTCATCATCAGCCCACTGTGAGTTTGTCACTTGTCCGTCGATGTTCTTGCTGTAATCGGGCTCCAGGACATGTTCAGTTGTCTCACACATGCATATTTTCAGTCCAATGCTCCCTGAGATTGCGTCAACACCATCACTAATGCCATGTCTCACAGCATACCTCCATATGCCAGCATCTGACCATCAGGAGACACAAATATGGTATACACAATCTGCCCAATGTCTACAATGCAAGCTCTGCACTGGTAGCTGGATTGGTTGCAGTCTTGAATGCCCAGTGCAATGGCTGCAGTGGAGTGAATGGATCGAGTGGATGTCATGATGTTCTGATTCTGCATTGAGCACAACACAGGTGATGACAACAGTAGTGTGATAGTACTACTCAGCGATCGACATTGCTGAGTGAAGAATGAAGAATGATGCATGAGCAAGGTGAGATGGGGTACTCATAGGCCCCTTTATGCGGTATGGAATCGAAGGACAAAGGACACTCTGACAATAACATACAGGGATAGTCAAGAATGATCACCGACTCCGCGCTGACAATAAATGTTTAGCGTGACCGACATCAACAATAACTGCCCAGCGATCGACGCTAACAATAACAGACTGAGCTTAAAGCTGCTGGTGCATTCTAACATTCATTCTAAGATTCCTTCACATGTTCACATCAATGACTGAACAAGATCTGACCTCCAGCACCCCTTTTTTCCCCAAAAAACTAGCCATCCACACAAAGCTTTCACACTTTCACATGTATGACAGTCTTCTCGTACATACTGAGCTGTACTCGATTTGTCACATCACCTGTCCTCGCACTCACCCATACCGTCACCCTCTGCTATGGTGTGGTTTCACACCACCGAACCATTGTCTGGACCTTGACATTGCCGACAATGTTGCTGGAGGGACCGCTACCTGCAAGAAGACTCCTGCACACTCTCATCATGGAACCCCTTGCCCCAGAGTGATGCACTCTCAGCAAACCACTCCAGGACCATCCCAACACCCACCTACGTATTCAGGATATCAGACCAGTGATCATGAGAATGATGCTGAGAAATCGGATGATGAGACTGGCACTGCTAGAATGCACGATACTGTCGCTGTCACAGAACCTGACTCTGATGGTCTCATCTCAAAATCTGAAGGTGAGGTTGATCATCTGAAGTGCGGCTATGCTCTTCAGGCAGTCCTCAGTTGGCACGCAAAGCAATATAAGGCACTGAAGGTAAAGGTCAACAGTTATGTTGCCAATTATCTTGACCATGGATATAGCATGTCCAATCAGCCAGCCGGAAAGATTGAGGGATTGATGAAGCTGGTGAGTGCCATGCCATCATGTCATTCACAGTTGTCGTTACAACATTATGGCCAGATCCTTGCAGAATACCTGAATATAGCCTCCAAATATCATGATGGATGGCCGATTAGTGATTTCATCCATCTCCACCTCAAGTATATACCTCGTCACATATTGCTGGTCAACACTCAGTCTGTCAAGGGTGGGATTACCCAAAAAATATTAAGAAAGCACTAGTGGGTATTGACCCATTTCTCCTTGCACAGTTCTGACAATGTCACATAATCAGCTAGCACTCGAGACTCGACGAGTCATGCAGGAGCAGCAGTGATGATAACAATAGCACAAAATATCGCATTTCTAATGTTTTTATACTACTGTATACATGCAAATATATACACATGAATACATACATATTAATAGTGCACTGATCACAATGCATCGACACACCTGCCCACACCCACCTACCAAACTCACTACTTCCAGGCGGGGTGACCCTGATGACACTCTGAAACTCATGGGGGTACTCGTAACATCGACTGAAATGTCTCAACAACTGTCCGGGTCATTGTTCGGGTCATCGTTACTGTCCGATTCGACGGTGTTGCTGTTCAGGTCATTGCTCCGGTCACTGTTTAGGTTGGGGCTGGTTGCGTAACTCTAGAGCTTGTTGTCGGCACTCCTGGGCTGTGCGGTCACCTCATATGATGCATTACTGAAGCATTTACTCCAGCAGCAAGGGATCGTGTTGGTCGCAGTGGGTGAAGATGCGTCGTAGGATCGACATGCATCGTAGAGTCGATGTGCATCATAGGGCCGATGTGTATCGTAGGGCTGACGTGCGTTGTAGGGTCAACGTGCATCGTGGAGGAGCTGACATCATCAGGTGGTGGGACATCTTCAAGGTGAAGAATGGGTTCGACAGATTTCACAATGCTTTGGAGGTCCTGAGGGTCTCTAAGCCAATCAATCATCTCGTTCAAGATGCAGACGAATCTTTCATAGTTGCAAGCTGCTTGTGTGAGCTTCTCATCTATTCCCAACTGTGAAATTGGTTGCTTTTGATTTTCTGCTTTGTAGGCTAAGGTGACCTGGGCATGCCCAAAACAGAGCTCCTTCACTTCTGTTCATCGGCCGCTGGCCTATCCTCTAACCCCCCTTTAATTTTTCAGTGGGACGGCCACCAAACACATCTGGAGCTGAAGCCCTACCTCAGGTGGCTCGGCCTCTGGCTTGACCGTACCCTATCGTTCGAGCACCACATCCGTGTCATGGCAGCGCGTGCTCAATCACGGGTCATCGTCCTATACCAACTCACGAACACCCAGCACGGCATCTCAGTCACCCAAGCCCGCCTCCTCTATCTCTCTACCATTTTGCCCATGCTCACCTTTGGCAGCCCCGTCTGGTACAATCCCCGTGCGCCGTGTGCCCTTTTCTACCCGCTCGAACGCATCCAAACCATGGCGCTGCAGTGGTTCCTCAGAGCGTGGAAGTCCACTCCACAAGTCACCCTGAACCTCATTGCCAGCGTGCTCCCAATGAAGCAGCAGCTACAACGCCTATCGAACCTCGCGGCAGTGCGACTGCTCATGCTCCCACAGCACCACCCCGTCGCCACCTGCATGAGTGATCAGGCCCACCTATACCCGCCCCAGTTCACCCTCCTCAACCCGTCCATACGCCATTACCGTGCAGAGCACACTCCGGTCACTACACTAGAGGAGGAACTGCCACGTGACCCCATGCACACTAACCCTTTCCTCCAGCCACCATGGGAGGCGCTGCACCCATGGGGCACGCGGGTAGTCACACTCATTCCTGCTCCCACTAAGGAAGCATCCATCCACCATGTAGACTCTGTTCTTAACCCACGTTTATCCGCTCACTTTTCAGACCCCACAGCCCTCTGGGTGTTCACCGATGGCTTCCAAACCTCTCATCCACTACCAGCCCCCCGTCATCGTGCAGCAGGAGCAGGTGCATGTATCTACCATCAATCTGCCCTAAAATTTCAACATGCATGAGGAATGGGGCATCGAGCCGAGGTCTTTGATGTGGAGCTCTTCACCATCACGACCGTGTCTTCCTATTTTTGAGGCTTCCTTACTGCCTATCCAAACATTTCCACCATTTACATTTGCGCAGACAACCGCGCTGCCCTGTCTCTCCTTTTTTTCTTGACCCCCCACCCAGGGCAGCCCTTCTCACTCACTTTCTGAAACCATCTCACGCTGCTCATGGGCGATTTCCCTAACCTGAAAATCACGCTGGTTTGGATGCCTGGTCACCATGGTGTACTGGGCAACGAAGTGGCCGACCGCCTCACCAAGGCAGCTGTGTCCCAACCCGAAAGTGTCTGCCCCACAATTGCGTGGGTGCGGAGGTGGGCACGTGAGCGAGTGACCTCCTCTTGGCAGGTGGAGTATGCGGCTACTGATCGTCCCACTGCACTGCGTGAAGCCTGGCCCTGGGCTCCTTCCACCACCCTTCATTCTATCTTCCGCTCAGGAGACTATTCTCGAAACACCGAGGGTCGATTTGTCCAGGCCGTCATCGGTCATGGCCACATCGGCACTTTCTTTAATTCCCGATATCACCGTAGCTTTCGCGGGTGCATTTGCAACCCTGCGCTCCTTAACTCACGCACCCACACTCTGCTTAGCTGCCCGCTGCACGATGACGCCCAGTGCATTCTATTCGACATTGCCACTCCAACCCGCACCCACCTCCGCCACCTATGGAAACACCCAGAGAGCTTGGACCATCTCGCGTTCTTCATTGCCACCACCCCTGCTTTCACTTCTGCGAGCCTTGCCTCATTCGACCCAGGCTAATCGCCCCACCTGCAGCTCTGCCACCCTTTCTTCCCCCTCCCCTTCGTTGTGCCCACCCTGAGTTGCGCCACACTGTAGCGTACGCCTGTGCCTGTACATTCTCCCTTTAAACACTGCACATAGCACGGGATAGAAATAAATGCAAAAAAAAAAAAAAAAAAGATGACGTGAGTATGCAGAAAGTCCCACATTGGTTTTGAAACCAATGTCCATGCATTGTGCATGTAAGGTGTCACCTGGAACAATGACAGCCAGCTTGAATTGGTCAACGCTGACACCTTTAAATTTGTGCACTGTTCTGCATGCTCAGTGATATCGCCCCAAACCTTGAATTTTTCAACCTGTAACATAGCAACTGGCTGCGCATCCTTCGTCAGCCTCTGCAGCATGGCACAATAATATGCAAACATATAGAAGAATGACTCCAGATCGTCCATATGATCGTGCAGGCTGAAAATAGAGATGTTATTGTCGGTAGTAAACAGTACTTTCGCTGATTGAAATGCGTATGTGCCCTTGACATACACAAAGCCATAAGTAAGTGAGCATCGCTTAAATGAAGGAATATGCTCACTGTTCACAAATTGCCTGCAGTTGCTCCACCATCCTTATTCAAACTCCACAGCTTCTCGACGTTGGCCGCCAGGTCCAAATCAATGATTTTTCCCATATTGTACTGCCGCTTAGTAGAAAAATACATCAAATTGTTGATGCTGACATCACGGTGGAGAATTTTTCATTTCAAGAGCAAGTTCCTGTGCCCTATCTGATAGTTAGACATGACAAGGTCACTTACATTTATCACACGACTTACCACAGACGCAGTCGCGAAATGCTATGAGGAACATCTGAGGGTCCGGTGCATACGATAACGGTCCATTGTATCGTTCAAGTAGGAGTTGGCATCGAATGCGGTTGGTGGCATAAGAGGTTTCGACACTTCTATCAGTGTCATGTTTCTCGAGCAAAAATAAAGTGGGCTTGATAAGAAATTGCTTCCCCTGTATGTCGGAAACCCTCTCTCCTTCCTTGAACGCCATCAATTGGCCTACTCCATTGAGATTCAAGGCACATGACAATGTCTGTGCCTCTGAGGATCAATTAACTGCATGCCAGTAATCCTTCAAGATGCACGTAAAGCGACTATTTCTGACGGTCCTGAACCAGCAGGTCATCTCACGTGATCAAATTGCACAGCAACGAGTGTAGCGCATCGCGTTCATGACGATGTCATCTTTTGTGGTCTGCACTTTCTGATCGATAACCTCCACAACCTGAGGAATAATATTGAAATCCCGCAATGTAATTATGGCCTCGATCTTTGGAGGGATGCATGCTGTTGGATAGAACACGATATCAGGATCTTTAAATACTTCATCGGACCATAGGAGAATGAGAATCACGAGGATGAGAAGATGACGATGGGTGTGGAAATTGACCAAGTCAGAGTATCATTTGCCACTTCTATCGTATCCATAAATCTGAAGTCGCTTATTAGTTATGATGAACGACAATATGAAGTGACAGTCTGATTGGTCAATGAGAGCTTGGTGGGCATATGCAGCAAGCTGTAACCTGTTCTTTTGCCTGTTCGTGTCATGATCCAACTTGAAGTCAACAAAGCTATGCATATGGCAATATTTGGGCCCTGTAGGCTCAAAACAAATATGGCAACTGTCGCTGTGCACCACAAAATCTGGGCTGGTAGCTAATTTTGACACGGAGTGACATTGCTTCACATTGTACACGTTCTTTGCGGTACCCTTGATCTTCCCTGATACAATATCCTGGAAATCCTTTTTGATAGAGCAGAATATATCAAGAAAGATGGAATACATTTGAAACTCCCGTCTGAAGTCTGCGTCCAGCGTCGATCATCCGTTCAGACAATGCTTGCGCAGATAATTGGGTACGCCTTGTCAAAGAACTGTTTTTTCCTTTGGATGAAGTCCTTCATCCAGCAATTGCCACAAGAATCCAGCGACATTTTCTACACCACCAAAATCCATCCATCCACCCAATTCTGCATCCAAATTGTACCTAATAGATATGACGGTCACCTTTGGATTGAGCTCTGAATTTGCAGAGGATGGTTCAGAAGGAGTGCTGTGGACTGCTATGGGTACCACTTTCTTCTTTGGTGTCACCATCACACTTGCACGGTGTGGTCCGGTGACAACAGCTGAGTCTGAGTCTGATCCTAATGAAGATGTCAGAGAGCCTAGCTTATACTTAAAGTCGAGCATGGTGTCAGTGTAATACTAGAATTGTTGATTTGAAAATGTGCAGCGAGAACCAGCTAGCATCATTCAACGATGTAGTATGCAGTAGAGAGCTTGTCGCATTGATTAACACCAACACAATGTAATGAAAATGCAGTGGAGAGTCAGTCACGTCGGTCAACACCAACACGAACATGATGTAAGGGAGCAATGGAACAATGTGAGGAGTCCCTCATGTTCTCACATTGGTCAACATGAGCACGTGAGTGTGCTTGCTCTATGTTCGAAGTTGCGTCCGGCACTGGAAAATCACTGAGTAACTGGTGCAGTTCTATGTCATCAGCACATAACAAGCTTTTAGACTATAAGCTGGTCCTACATCATCAGTGCATACCAAGCTTCTGTTATCTCACATCTATTATCTCATCTATACCGCTTGTTAGACTATAAGCTTGTTGTGTTGTATCTATTATCTCGCATCTATAAAAGGTTGTTTCATTGTCTCACCTATACTTCGACAAAAAAACTAGTTCATTGATACCAGCCGCTCACAGTTTTAGTTCTATTATCTTGCCGTTCATTGTCTCGCCTATACTTTGACAAAAAATAGTCCATTGATACCAGCTGCTCACACCTCTATTATCATCTCGTGTATACTTCGACAATAAATACTAGTCCACTGCTCACAGTTTTTTTTGTTAACTGGACAATCTATAAAAGGCTGCCTACACACCCACCAAACTCACCTACCAAACTCATCTACTCCTCTCGTGTGAGTGTTGACATGCATGAGCACTTTTCTCTGTGCTACCTACGTTCATTCATCAGCGCAGGTTATCAGAAGCGTGTCCTGTCTTCGTAGCTCATTAACCATCACAATCTCCCTCCTCTCTATGCTTCCTGTTTTCATCAGCAATCGTCACTTTCCATACAATGGATTTGGGCCATTCCTCTGCCCATAGCACTTTACATCAGGAGTCGGAGTCGATGAGTGGAATGCCAGACACATTCCAGGAATTGAATGAGCAGCCAATGGAAGTCGATTCTTTGGTACATGTCATTTTTCATCAGTGTCAGAACTTCATCTGTTAACATTAAACTCACTTCAGACTGCTCAAATTGTGATGTGGTTCCAGTTCAAACCTTTTCACCGATAAATTTCACCCCCACCTACATTGCCTCGGGCCATCAAGCAATCTCTTATGCTGCCAAGTCCGTTACCATCCCAGATATTCCAAACAAATGAAGCTGCTTTGTCTGTGGCCCACGGTCTCCAAGTCACTTTGATCACCACCCCATCATCCAGTCTTCAAGTGGCTTTCACCACGTCCACACCATCTGAGATGCCCAGAAACTCACGCAGACTGTCTCCATCTGATGAGAGTGAGGCATCATCGTCATTGGCCTTGCAGAGCTTAAAGGTTCACATCGTGGAGGTGGAGACTCCGAGTTTATATCAGCAAGCAATGCTGAGGTGCCTATGTCACCAAGCGAGCAGTTCTGACAGTAGCACGTTAAGAATGGCATGCTGACAGATCACTACATTGCAAGGTGAACTGCGGGCTCACAGCAATGACTTAACTACAACTCTTGCAGTAGTGCAGGAGATGCTGGACACATCTAGGACACAGACATAGAATAGCCGTGAGCTAGCAAAATGGACTCGACGAGCAGCTCCATATGAGCAGCAGCTTTGTGCTCAACAGGACGAGATTGTGGCACAGAACAGTCATCTGCAAGCTATGGCTGCGGTGCATGCTGATAAGAATGTGGAGATATGGACAGAACTCCATGACAGCCTGCAGGAGGTGCACCGCCTTCAGCTGGACTTGAGAGAGAAGGACAATGCCATTATGGAATTGACTGCCAAAATCGAAACCATTCAGAAAGATTCTCGCAGGGAGAGGGATCGCCTAGCGGCTGATCGTGAGCACAAAATGCTGGCTCTAGAGGCAAAGGTCAATGCTGATATGCAGGTGAGACAATCATCCAGGACATGTGATTGAAAAGACACTGATGAGATATAGGTCCTCAAACTATCTCTCTCCCAACAGGTACCACCTCCGCTTCCACTCCTGTCAATGATGCGAGAATCTACACCATTTTTACAAGCCTCTGATCACATGCAGTCTCTATCACCATCTCCCTAACAATATCTGCTGCCATCAGAAAACCCAAGTGGTGTGCACAATCCTCTGCCGCTATGCACGTCTTCATCAATGGTGGCATCTATATCAATCAATGCACTGATTCTGCTGCCACCTCTGGATAAGACAGCGGAGAGGCAACGAGCTAGGAATAAGGCTGAGACAAATCAAGTTGAAGCTGACCGCTGAAGATTCACGGCTTTGGGTGACCGTACTTTCCATTTGAGTGAAGTTCGGCGGATTTTTGCAGAGTATTTTGATGCTTTTGAAGATGAGGACTTCATTAGCAGCCACGTTGCCATGCCGGTAGATGTAGTTAAATCCTATTTGCAAGGTTTTGGCTCGGGCCCTAACACACAAGATCTCCACTTCACCACCGAATCACCGTACAACAATCCATGGAATTGTGCAATCTGTTCTTACTTGGCCAGCATACTGTGTAAGAGACAGATGAAGGAGCTGTGGTGCTTGACAGCCAAGGGAGGCCAGCTAGTTGCAACAGCTTCCATAGCATATTGAGAGGATGCCTTTCTGGAAAAGTTCAAGCGCATCTGCTCAGGCTGGCTCAATGTCTGGCCTCTAGTCATGCAGGATCATGTCACAGGGCAGGCGAGGCAGAAGTCGAGGACCAAGGCTGACCAGTGGTGATACCAACATCGTGAGGGGGTTTGCAAGCAGGTGAGGAAGTGAGAACGCAGATGCAAGGTAATAATTTTGCGTTTAAGCACATGCACCAGTCTAAATTTTTCACACAGCATTGGAAAAGGAGAAAGCAGGTTTGCAATGTAAAAATCCGCTTTGCAGAGAATCAATTCATGAAGTCACAATGGTCAAATCTTTGAGAATTCTCGAAATCTTGGGGGACAATGGCATGAGCTCAGATGAATCAGCCACAAAGGAAGTTACACACCGACCTTGCTATCAAGTTACCATCCTTCTGTGGAGGCACAATTTTGATGCCATGATGGACATCATCGACAATGTGCGCATGGACGTAGCAAGTGGCTACAGCAACAGAGGATCCAAGCCAACATTGTGACATCATCATGAGAGGCATATTGCTTAGTCTCAAGGAGACACCACAGTCGTCAAGCTCACAAGATGTGAGCCTGTTTGCGACCTATCTATCAAATTCTATAATGAAAAATGGCTCAATGAGCGCACCGATGAGTATGTGGAGCACATTTTGCACGTCTCGAGAGAGGGATACCAATGGGTCCATGACCTCGCTCAGTCTTACAGTGGCTTGTGATTGTCAAGAACATTTCCGTACAATGTAGCACATCATAGCTCAGTTTGGCAATATGCAGCGAGAACTCGCTCACGTCGGTCCACAACATGATGTTTGAAATATGCAATGTGAACAGTGAGAACTTGCTCATCTTGAGTGGATGAGGGCAGTCTGACTGCGCTGACTGCGCCGATTGGCCATTCATGTCTGTTGATTCGTCCTCACCTCAGTCAACACAGACACGTGAAAGTAGAAGAAGGCAGTGACTGCAATCGCATCGGGGGAAGAGAGTTGTAAAGCAGAAAGAAGGCAATGACTTCAATCATGTCGGTCAACACTGATGCGATTAGAGGGGAGAGAGTCGAGCAGGAAAATAACTAGAAAAGAGCCAAGAGAGTCGAGAGTTGAGCAGAAAAGTAACTAGAAGAGAGCCAAAAGAGTCGAGAGTCAAGAAAAGAGTGACTGCAATCGTGCTGGTCAACACTGACATGATTAGAGGGAAGAGAGAGCAGTGATCTCAATCACGTCGGTCAACACTGACATGATCAGAGGAGTGAGAGTTGAATGTTGAGCAGGCAAGTAGAGCCATAGAGCTAAGGAGAAGCTAATGACTAAGCTGATAACTAATTTGTTCAGCCACCAACGTGTCTCGTCCTTGTCATGTCATGCTTTTCCCTGGCTCACCCATCTCCACTTTGTCACGATCGCATCAGTGTTGATCGCTGTGACACATCTTACTAATGCATCCTGTCTTACCATTCTCACTCTCCCCTGGCTCACAATCACATTGGTGTTGACCACTGTGATGCATCCTCAAGGCCATTATGATGCATCCCAAAATCTATGCGATGCTGGCCTCCACCATATTACCCTTGATTGCACTCCTGTGCACTTCTTGTATCGTGGTTAGGTCTTCCATCTGAGTTCTCTGGGCTTCTGGAAGAACAGACCTATCTATCTCAACAATTGGTGAACATATCTGTGATCTGCAACACTGCATGCCATCAGTTCTCACCTGTTGGAATCAAAATGAAAAACGTAGATGACCTTGTGTCACAGATTTTCACCACAAAGTCCGCATGTGACTTTTCTCATGCCACAGATCACGTGCTTCACCAATATCTCACACCACTCAGCCACAGACGTGATGTGTAGAGATCAGGTAGTCCACATCACATGTTATGGTTCAGACCCACGGATGATACAGTCGGATCTGTCTATTCCAGGATACAATAGAGGCACCCATTTGGGAACAAAGGGAACAAGAACTATTGTTACACATCGGCCTTCCGCTTTCTAATAGTTTAGCCAGAAGCCCAGATAGTCACGATGTTCACATCAGAGAACAAAAGGGTAACCAAGATGGGCACGATGTGCACACGCATTACTGCGGCAACCATCGATCTTCCCACTTATTGTTCTACTTCTGAACATCCTATTGTTTCATGTATGGCCATTAGCTTATACCTGTAGATAGGTAGCTTAGATAAGATAGCCTGCTGTATGTGTATATAAGACCAGCCATGTAGAGGACAAAACTTCAGATTGTTTCTCCTCGTCTACTACCTGTAGCACCCACTGAGCTTACCAGCTCCTTCATATATCTCTCACCCATTCCTGCACCTGCCACATCGACTAGTAAGTTAGAGGCTCTTGTGTCACATAGGGTTCAGGGGGATTCTTTGGGATCAGAGGGATCAGGGTGGCACGTTCCACGTGACTGTCCTTTTTTAGTCTTTTTGATCTCTTGTCTGGTGGTACCGTGACACCTTGTGAACTTAACCACAATGGGTGTAGGTACCTTCCCCGAGGATGTGAAAATAACTGAGCAGTCTTTGGGCAGACTGTGCACCAGCGTAAAAGATGCTTTCAACTGGTAAGTCTTTTTAAAATAGATGATCTTTTCAATGCACTGACAATTGTCTCAAGGTTTCTGGCCAGCAATGATCAGATGGTCCCCAAAGTCAAATCTGCGAATGCACACTCACTGTTCAGATGGCCTTGGTCCTCTGTTAAAACCAAGGTGACCATAATGGACATCTTCTTTAGATCAATTACTACGCTGGACAGCAATTTGGATGATTCCACCATTGGTGTTGGCCTTAATGACGACCACCTCAAATTTGTAATATCACAGTTTTCAACACTTACCAGCACTGCTCATTACAAGCAGGTCAAAATCCACGCTGCTCATGACAAGCTTTGGTCATCTCCTTGGACCTGGCTTGGCTACAATCGTCGAGAATTAAATATTCAACGGCTTTCTACTGGGGCTCTCGGCGAGGCATTATCTTATCATCATTACATCGTTGAGGACATCAGCACTACTCAGCACACGTTGTACATGCTGGGCAAGTGTATTGAGGACCTACGTGGCAGGCTACGTTCGTTGAAAGTGCTGGATGACCAAATCCTCATCCTACATTGATGATCTAGCTTTTTCCCCTATATTATCGTGGTTCTGCTCACATTGTTGGTGAGTAACAATGCATTCATAGATAAGCTGCATTGGTCTGACAACTTATTAGACCTAAATGTCTGCACTTTATGCCACCAAAAAAGCCCAGAAAACCGCAGAATGTGCGAAAGCTGAAGTGGAGAAGCAGATTTGTGTTAAGGATGCCGCTCTGGAGGAGCAGATTCATGTTAAGGATGCCACTCTGGAGGAGATGCTGAAGGCAGAGAGCAGTTCACATCAGGAACTTGGGCAGGCACTGGACAATGTGCGGTCAGAGCTGGAAGCCAAGACATCACAGCTGGATGAGGAGCATAACACTCACCGGAAACTCAGGCAGAGGCTAAACAAAGTGAAGCTGCAGCTGTGGAATGATGAGACTGAGCTGCAGTACATGGCCAATATAGGCTAGCTAGATGAAAATCTCAGGGCCATGACACATCAGGTGGATGCAGAGTGCAAGACTCACAGAGTACTAGAGCAGACGATGAACAACATGCGGTTGGAGCTGCAGGCCAGAATGTCTGAGCTGGAAAAAAAGTGCACTGCTCACACGATACTAAGGCAAAGGTTCAGAAATATGCGGTTGAAGCTGAAAACATCCGAGCTGAAAGAGGAGCACGATGCTCACTCACTAGCACAGACACTGGAGACAGAACACAGTGCTCATCAGGAACTAGAGCAGATGCTGGTTAATACGTGGTCTGAGCTGGAATCAGCACAATCAGTGCTCAGAATCAGGGTCTTGAAGCTCAATGAAACATGCATGATGGTGGAGGAACTAAACCAGATGCTGAACGAGACACAGTCGGAGCTGCAAACAGAACGCAGTGCTCGTCAAGAGCTGAAACAGATGCTGGACAAGGTGCAGTCAGAACTGCAGACAGAGCGCAGTGCCCATCAAGAGCTCGATCAGGTACTGAAAATGGTGCGGTCGGAGGTGAGTGCTAAAACATCTGAGCTGGATGCGGAGCACAGTGCTCACCAAGAACCTGTGCAGACACTGGACAAGGTGCCACCAAAGCTGAGTGTCGAGATGTCTGAATCAGAGGGAGAGCGCACTGCTCACCAAGAATTCATGCAGACATCTGAATCAGAGGGAGAGCACACTGCTCACCAAGAACCTGTGCAGACACTGAACGAGGTGCCACTAAAGCCTTCCCTCGATGTTCCCCTCACCTTCAGTCCTGAAGAGTTCCCCATGTGCTTCCCATCGGCAGCTGACCTTGAAGGGTTCAGCAAGCACTTCCTGTCGCCAGAGTCACAGACACACCCAGGTTCCAGCATGGATGTGGGAGGTGACAAAAAGATGTCCACACAGGCTGCCATAAGAGGGGACCAGTATAAATCTGTAAGGCGAGCTGGCAAAAAGGCCTCTGAGCAACATCGAAGGAGAGGAGAATTGGAAGCGACCATGAGAATTCATTCCCTCACCTTGGCCAACCTTGAGACCAAAATGTGTGAGGGAGCAGATGATTCTGATTCTGTTTCTGATCCACCAAGTTCAGGGTCAGAAACTTCTCTCAAATCGCAAGCGCAGGTCACCATGCCTGGCACGAGCAAGGCTGCTTTCCCAGCATGGCTGACGTTGAGGCAAGAATGCATGCACAGTTTTGACAGAGGGAACACAGCACTGGATGCCCCTCCCACATCGAGTATGTAGGAGCAGAGGCTCTCATGCTGAGGGATTCCCCTCTCATCAGATGCCTCTCTCACATCAGGTATGTAGGAGCAGAGGCTCTCATGCTGAGAGATGCCCCTCTCATTGAATGCCCCTCCCACATTGAGTATGTAGGAGCGGAGGCTCTCGTGCTTTTCAGTCATGCTTCTGTGCTGTATCTGCACTGGACTTTTAGCTAGTATCACCATGTCGAACATTATGCGTGCATTTTTGACTGTATTGTATTGTACTTTGGTCTACTTCGGTCATCAATGTGAGCTCGCACTTATTTCTGTTGGATGGACTGCAGTCACCATCTGTTCTCTTCAGTAGAGCCTGAGAGGTGTGAAAGCAGGCAATCACGTTGGTCAACACTGATGCAATTAGAGGGAGAGTCTTTGCAATGGGCGCTTGAGTCAATCTAAGAGGCCTGGCACTTAAGTCAATCTGAGAGAAGCATCTATATAGATCTAGATCTTCCAACAATCTCAATTGTCTCCAAATTAGGTACCCCAAATTAGTCTCCCATTATTCAGATGATTCTCTCCAGACGACCCTCATAGCAATGCATCCCGATGGTGTTGACCATCGGGAGCAGTCTCTAGCATCTATCTCTGCCCCGATGATCCTCATTCAGCAATGCATCCCAACGGTGTTGACTGTCGTGAGCAGTCTCTCATCTATCATTGCTTGTCAACTGCAACGTCTACCAACAAACCACAAATTCGGTGCGCATTTTTCTCTCTTCTCACTGTTGCATATTGAATTGTATAAAAAGGTGAGCTTAAGGGAACTATTCATAGCACATTCTTGCATGGAGTGAATCTAAGGTGATGGCTCTCTCGACCTGATGCTCCAGATGGTGTTTGACAGTGCAAGATACTTTTCGAAAAGCTGTACAGAGAAATGCCCAGTGATGGAGCTCATATCTATGAGATTATCGCTGCCGATGAGGAAGCAGTGAAGGAACTTCCTATGACAAAGACTTCTGAGAATCTCAAGACACTTATCGATCTCCTGCGAGTCTCTTTGTGGGCTCACCTTCATGTTAATCATGTCATCTTTGCTCGAGCATGCACGCACATTGATAATAGTCTGGTTATATTCTATCCACATGGCAACCGTTTATCTCCTGCAATCGCAGGCTCTATTAAACACATCTATATCATAGATGGACATCCTCGCTTCGCTGTTCATCGATACCTCCCAGCAATGTTGAATGGCCCGGATCCTTTCACTTGATGGTCTGACTTTCCTGCCTGAACGTGGTCGACGGAGAGGTCCCAAACACTAGAGGAGGTGAAGGTTCAGTGGGTGCTCTCACAGTTTGCTGAATATGCTATTTTCAAGGATCATGTCATTGTATTAGAACTAAATCAGGTAGGTATTGCCCATCTTCCTACTTGGGCCACTCACTCACATCTGTCCAAGATGTAACCTTTTAGTCTGATTTCATTTTGACCTATACCCATTGGAACTAGTGTCATGAACCATACGCGATTCTCTCCTGATGTCTCTTTGCAACTCACTGACAGCTCTGCTCGGGAGACAAAAATTCTTCACCTCCTCACTGCTCTCGCATGTTGCCTTCATCAACACTTCGACTGTGGAAGCGAAATTATCGCCCTTGCCCCAACGATTCTGAAAGAAAGTCATCACATTGCTGTTAGCACAACAGATGGTCACATCTGTTGCTTTGCATGAGCTGAAGCAATGAGAACACCGAATATTGAATCACAGATGTGAGCAAAGAATGTGAACTCACCGATTAGTGTTCATGACTTTGCATGTCATGGAGAACTTCCACTTTGAGCAAAACTGTCTGACATAGCTATCTCAGTGATCAACACCATTGAGACATGGACACGTCAGTCTTCATGGGAGATTCATCAAACAGTCCTAGCAGTCAACACCAGCACAATTAGAGGAAACAAGCTTAAGCACAATCACGTCGGTCAACACTGACACGATTAGATAAAAACAGTATATATGTATATCTCAGCCGACTCTGATGGAACTATATATAGCTAACACGCTTAGGTGCTCCTCGCGGAAAATGCAGCCCTTACATTCAAAATGTCAACGCTCATCGCATCGCATCCCATCCTGCTGTCTGTTCACGCTTTTTCCTGGCTCACGATCACACTGATGTTGACCAGTGTGACACATTATGCATTATCTCCACTTCATCATGATCACATCGGTGTTGACTGCTGTGTGCTGCGACGCATCTCACCAATGCATTCTGTCTTGCTGTTTGTTCACACTTTCTCCTGGCTCGCAATCACATCAGTGTTGACCAGTGTGACACATTACCTTTACTTCATCACGATTGCATCAGTGTTGACTGCTGTGGCATAACTGCACATCCTTCAGTCTCCTGTACATTGATGTTGACAGTCAAAGGCATTGCACCAGACAGTAGCCAGTGTACACGTATGTACACCAACCCATCTATAATAGATGTCACTCATTTTTCCATACAGATCATGCCACTTTCAGTCTTCATCTTTGAGGGCCAGCTATACTCGTCACCAACGCGTACCTCATTTCCTGTCCATAGTGTACCACCTCAACAGCATGATCCCTTGAGCTCATCCACATGGCAGCAATGCATGTGGAGGCCAGAGCACTATCTGGAGCTAGCCTTTTACCCAGTTTCAGAGCAGCTCGTAGGCACAATGTTCCACTATCTTCGCTTCTGCCCCAAAAAGGATGTCCCGCTAGAGTGGCAATCTCATCCAAGCAGCAGATTGCAGTGCCGTATTGCTCACACAATGGATCGTGCTCACAATATTACTGCAGGAAGGACCATGTAGCAAATGAGCTCTTTGTGTTGTTAGTAGTCATGCACTGTGGATTAGAATCGAACTTCTTTGCGTGCAATGTAACATTTCATTTTTGTCTATGCATACGAGTAATAATCTCTCCAGCATCATAGTTATTGACAATCCCATGTCTGCAACAGCTACGAAGATCAGCCGCACCTTAGCCATCTTTGAGTTGAGCAGTGGGATGATCACACGCTCTGCGACCAGTCAGCATACCACTGAATGGTCGATGACTGACTTTTGAGTAGCTGCAAAATCGGCCGATGAGCGAGAAATGGAACAACATTTGAGATTTAGTTTCAGCAAACATTCAAGTGAACATCACTGCAGTTTCCGTAGTTTTTCTCTTGGTGGACAGTTCAAACCTTAACCCAAGACAACAATTCAGATTTTATCACTGATTTACTGAGGATACCATTTCTATTCTTAGTCAGTTTGCCTTTTGTGATATTGTTTCTGCTGCCAACTTAGCTGAGCTGTTGAACTGTTAGCCAAATCAGAAGAGTTAATAAGATAAGAACTGTTCTATCAAGTCCTATCTAGGAAAACAGCTGAGATGTCCTCCTAGAGATATTATTGTAGAACATTTCATATGTTTATTCAAATTCTGTCACTACATGTGTCACAGATCAAATGACAAAACTTCTGACGTGTTAGATAATGCAGCCATAGGCAAAGCTGCCATGGCATGCTTCAATGAGCCTTCAATCATTGCACTGGATGAGTATCCTATGACAGTGAATCTGTATGTCCAAGACAGCAGTTCCTCTCCTGCGAGGGTGATGGGAGCCATTTCATCATGGTCTATGCACCCCATGAAGTAGATCACTCGACTAGGGGTGAGAACAAAGTATATGCCTTGACCAGGAAAGAAAAGAGTCTCTTGTCATATTCTGATAGCAAATTTGAGCCACATGTCATGCAGGACATTTCTATGACACTGTCAAAGTTGTCGTGATGTTTTTTATCAAAAACTCCCATTGACTTGTTGAGTTCATTTGCTGATCATCACTGTTAATGGAATACTGATAACATCATCAGAGCCGTCACTTGTCACTACTGTCAGCTTGGGCAGGAGCGAGGTTCAATTGCCATGATGTAAAGAATACATTATCTGGACATCCAATGTGTGGAGTGTTGATCACGTTAGCATAATCTTGCAAATTCTTGACCATCTCTGGATGCCCCTCCTTCAGAAACTGGTCCGTCACATATGCAGATATAGTCTGTAATTGTGCATTAAGTATATACCTGCGGTGTCACATAGGTTAGAATGAGCACCTTCAAGAAACCCTCTTACATCTGAAGGTGTGGATCGTCGATATTTCCATCATAAATCTTGTCATTTGTCACGGACGCATTTGCCAGGTAAGGCTTTTCAATCAACAATCTGAATGGATAGCATTGTGTACCACTACTGAGTGTTTCGATGAGTGTGTATTCTGTGTATGAAATGGTGCCTCCATACCAAATGACTGACTTCTTATATGAATCGATATCGGAAAATGTATCGTCATGGGATCTTTTACGTCTCACATTGATTCACGTTCACTGGGTCCATTCATCGAAGCCACTCACAGCTGCGATGATGCTTGATGGTACGCGTTATCATTCATCGACATATAATTCTCATCGCTTGTCATTTGATCACTACTTCAGCAAGGAGATTCACTCCTGATGTGATGCCTCGCTCAATCTCATTCAACATCACATAATCAACTCTCTATTTCAACCCGTCATTCCATTGCTGCACTGGCTTACTCTGATAAGAACCCTATTGTTGAGATATGTGACCAGACATCACGACTGCTTGTCTTTGTTCCTACAAAGTCGAACATCATCCTTCATATTTCTAATCAACTGACAAATGGACATTTGCACTCCTCGCATCTTTTGAACCATTTATGAATTTCACTTGCATTTCACAAACCATGACCCTTCATTGCTCAGTGGAGGTTTGAAACATGGGTGAGTGTATCAATGGACTGCAGAAGAGCTCGAGACATTCATTCTACCTGGCATGCATGTGGACCATTCACGTAAATACGAGTATCAAGGATACATCGTGAAAACTCCTATACTGTGAAGGTCTTACCTTTTATTGTGCCAATACACTCTTTCTGCCATTGATAACACAACACTCTGTAGCCTTACCTGCAGCCTTATTGGTGTTGATTATCACTGGTGTGTCACATTATAGAGTCAATTTCTTAAGATGAATCTATTTCAATCATGAAAGATATTTCATAAACTCCTCAGTGTTTCAAAATTTGTCTCATTAGAAGAGCTTTACCAATTCACAGAATTCACAGCATTATTTCTGACCTTGAGCATTATGCTAGCCCTTTTGCTATTTGTTCTCTTGTAATATGCTTCACAGGTTGAATAAAGCATTTTTAACCTCAAGTGCCTTCAAGCATTTTTACTTTTATCATTATCCAAGATTGTAGAAAGTTTCAGATAGATAAAACAAAGTGACAGTCAATTGACTTGATCCAATAATATACACCAGAATGATGGACTTTAATGTTAGAAGAGAATAACAATGGTATAATGGAACATAATCTGTAGGTAATTATGCATTTTTTGTGATCAATAGAGAATACAACAGATTTTGTATCATGAAAGATAATCATCACTTTTTCTACAGAAATAGAACACACTTTATGAGATAGAATTCTAACTTCATACATTCATAATGCATCTGCAGAGTATCTGTGTGTGAACTCACTTTGTTTCTCAAACAGGAGTATGTTTTAGCTTATAAAATGTGTGTCCCTTTCTCAGCCATATCTTTTCTAAAACTTATCTTTGACTCTGCTTTATGAAGAGCTATCTGAAATGGATATGAAAAATTACCTGTACTTCATATTCTATGATATATTGCTATCCTGTGCAGATATGTTTTCTAATTCAAGGGCAAGAATACTCAGTTTGTAAAAACATATTTCACACTATGATGGCATTGTTTGAAGGACTGATCCATATCTTAACTTTTTAGAGCAATATGCATGTGAATTTTATGCAATAGGTTTAATTGCCATGTGTCAGTTAAACTAAAAAAACATTTGAGGCTCCACCACCTTTGAAAAAGTCAGCTATTTATCAAATATGAGAATTCACAGTGGCTGACATTTTCACAGATCTTATAGCCCTCACAGTTCACTTGTTTATACTGAAAAAACCGCTTTGGGTTATGACAATCACACAGATCATGCTCATTGAGTATGTTGTAATATAATTTGTACTTTGAACGATCAAATACAGCATAGTTAGAACTGGTCTGACTAAACACATATATATGTTTGGCATATCATTAAGAGATGAATTGCTAATAGCAAATACACAATGTGAGGTAGAAGGGCACAACATACTCTATGTACATTCTGAACATTCAAGTTGTTAATGACATCAATGTCTGCTAAGGATTTCAGCTCAGCTCTACATAGCAGCTCTGAGTGTGACTTTAAGACTGGCTTTTTAAGGCTCTGCATACATTGTTTATATGTTTCAGTTATGTTAATATTATGCTTTTTACCATCATGTGTCTCTCTATCAATTTTCTCAATAAATACAACAAACTATAACTATGTAGCCTCAGAAATACACAAGTCATACAGGGCTGTGGCTCAGCCACCAAAGGCAATCAATCATTTTTACCTTGGTGGCTGAAAACTTGAATTGTAACAATTATTGGTTAAACAAGAAATGAAAAATATCAAAACTCCAGAAAATGCTAAATGATACATTACTCAGATGATATTATATTGTTGGGCCAGATTAGATACACTGGAAAATGATAAAATGCAAATGTTTGAATTGTTTTGAAAGCATTCAATTGATTTGATGAATATTGACTGAAAAAAGAATATAACTGAGATCTGTCTTCCATTTACCATGGTTCTTATATACATGACTTGTAGTCTATTATACAATATTAATATAAGCAAATTATGTGCTGTCTATCAGCTAGCTACAAAGTCATACAACTTGTCTCTATTAATCTAATTAGCTGCCTAAATAAATTTAGCAGAGACAGGAGCTCGTGTGGCATTACTGAGTGTATTAGTGTTGCTGACTACATGATGAATTAGTTGGCCATTGACAGCATCCCCAAGTCACATGTGTAGTTAATGTCTGAGATACTCAAGATCACATGACTAGTGTCTAGATAGGCTAAGCTCATATTTATCAGTCATATGACTAAATGATGAAAATAAATAAATAGAATGCTATCTTATAAATTATATGTTCAGATTAGAACTTGTCAGATGAAACTATAACATACATGCATTTTCTGGCTAACAAGTTATTTGCACACATAACCTGCCATAGCAAGCATTTAATACTCATTTTTGCTTACAAATGACCTTTCACACAACATGACAGATGAGGTGCAAGCCATTGACCAATATAAAGGGCATTCCAACATTGCTGAGTGAGGATGTCACCCTGATCACTCAAGCTTCAAGCTTCAAGTCTCATACTGACTGCTGAAATGATACAGAGCAGAAGTGAACTGCATAGTGCAAAAGCCTAAAAAGTGCCAATTGCTGTTGGTCATCTGTATATCAGATAATGAATTCCTTTTTGCTTGCTATCTCAGATGCACTGAAAACTGTAAATTTACTTGATCAGGTGTCCTCAATTATTTGTCTGTTTTGAAGCTTCTCATAGACTTTATATCATCACTAACTGTGTGTAGCAGTAACAGAAAACATCTTAGAAGCCTAATTGATATGAGCAAAAGTTGTCAATCCAAAACATGTAACTCATGTAAAACTACATCATCTGATTGTATTACTCAGCTGGAGGAGTGCCTTCAGGTCAGCTAGTGGCAAATGGGCATAATGAAACTTAGAAAATACTTCATTTTATGTGGCTTTGTCACTCTACTGTGTTCAACACAATGCCAGTGTTTTCCATGACAAAAAAAAGTTTTGACTTTCTAGCATGATGTGCAATGTGCAGATGTCAGAAGATGGGGCTGATTTATGCAGAGCATATAAAAAGATCTTGGGCATTGTTGAAAATACTGATATATATTGTGACATTTTTAAATGTTTGAATATATAAATAGTACATAGTAAATTAAATATTGATGGCTCTCAATTAGAGCCATATGCAGTCCATCTTTCAGCTAAAAAAGCGAAGACTTGAGGTTACAGAATCTGTAAAGATGTCAGCCATTCAAATTCTCACACTTTAAGTCATCACAATGCACAAATAATCCAAATTATGATGTGCACATATGTGCAATGTGCAACTAGCTAGATGCATGAACATGGATGTTGTACTTTGGTGTTGTTTGCATAATACTTCCAATTGCTCTCAATTTCATTGCTATACAAGCAAAAAGTCTCCTTCTTCATTTTCTGAGGCTTTATGACCTCAAAACATCTTGCTTTTAGTTTCAAATATTTGCAATATATTTGTTCACATAGAGCACTGGGTTTGAATTTGAGTTTGAATCTAATAACATGGCTAATCGAAATAATTAGCAATATTTATGGCTAATGAGAGTACTGCATTTGCAAAGATGATTTACTAAATCAATTGAATGCTTTTAAAACAATTGAAAGATTTTTGATGTATGTAATGTGGCTCAATAGCATAGTATCATCTTAGTAATGTATTATTTAACATTTTTCTAAGGTGTCACAGTTTCTATTCAAGATCTATAACTATAACAGTCCAATTCGAGTTTTTAGCCACTAAGATAAATTAATAAGGTCTTATGTACATAGTCCTGTGTGGCATATGTATTTCTGAGACTACATTCCAAGAGTTTCTTGTATTGTAGTGAACAAATGTATACAGAGACAGATGATGTTGAAAGGCATAATATTAACATACCAAAACATATAATTGATGTGTGCAAAGTCTTCAAAAACTGTTATACTCACATTTACAGCTGGTGCAGCTGAACTGAAAATCTTTCTCTGCATGTGATTAGCTTGCAATGTATTGAGGGCTGACAATCAATGTCAGTGACCAATCCTTATGTATATGTGCTATCAGCTCTAATATTAGCAAATAGAATGGGAAACCTCATTGAAGAATCTTACTCATTGATGACAGGCACTAGAAGAAGCCACTTTCTACACAACCTCTTAACAGAATAGAGTCACTTGGCCACATCAAAATGCTCATCCCTTCTACTCACAAATATGATTCAGAAGCATAGACAGCCTCTGCTCTCATAGCCTTAAACCAAGCATGGCCAGCAATCTTTATAGTTTAGAAACATTATTTACTCTCAACATGTATGAACAGCCTGAGTACTGTATATGTCTACATTTATTCAATCTCTCAATCAAACTAGATAAAGGAAAGTGGTGTACCTTATATTTTTATTAAAGATCTTAAACTTCTAAGGGTATTCATCCAGCTGAAAGGCACCATTGTTATGAAAGCCTTATGATACTGACTGAGAAGGACTTTCAGGTACTCAGGTTGATCTATAAAATGCTGTCCTCATGCATCTGCATTGTCATTGCTCTTTCAAATAATGTAGTTTTAATGTTAAGATCATTTATCAAACAATTTCTGGCTTACAGAACAGCAATTTGTGGTAAAGAATTGACCTTTGTAGCATACACAATGGTGAATCTCCAAGTTTGGAGTAGAAACCACACTCATCCATTGAGTTAATGTAGAGATTCCCTACAGAATGATCTTTGGCTTACAACATTTGACAATATAATTTGAGATGATGGTATTTAATGAAGTGCATACTCTGTCAATGTACAAAAGTGAATCTATCATGTATCAAGGCTGATCAAGGAGCAAGCACACATGACTTATCAAATATATAATATTTTAAATATTACTGATATCAATAATAGGAATACTTGATAGAAAATTTTCTAGAGTACTTCTTGTATCTTCTAACATCACGAAAGGCAAGGAATATTTGTATTAAGAATACATTGCATTGAGCAGGAGCTGGCTTACAACTGATTATCCTATAAATATGATGTTTGTTTCTTGAGCATAAAATGTATATTTCATAAAGTTTACTAGTTTCACTTACACCTAGCATAGATAAGTTCATGTATGTATACATGCAGGCTTTCAGGCATAGCAGCTGTGGTGAGCAGAGAAACTGATTCTAAAATTATTACATATGAGAGGAACAAATGCAAATAACATCAGTAGCATGGCCTCACAAATCCTCATTCAGCAAGAATGAGGTGCTGAATCTCAACTCAGGAAGGGTTGAGAGATGCATAAATATGATTGAGCATGAAAGGTCCTAAGCTTAAATCAATGTTTTTGACATTTCTTGAATTCTTTTATAATGATGACAAGAGTCAATGCCTCTTGAACCGCAACCATCACCATCTCTGCAGGTGCCTGCGGTGCCTGCCAGGCCTCTACTCCCTCCTGTCCCCGACTACGTTAAAGAAAAGCCCATCAACTTCTGACTCTCTCACATTGCCACCATGATGCGAAACTCTGGCTCTCCCGTCAGTTGGATGGTGAGCTCGCTAGAAACAGTCACTGTGATTCTCGAAGAAATTTCAGCCTGGTTCCACCTCCTGGACCCTGCCGACCCACTAGTGACATCCATCCCTGCTAACGCAGCCCTCTACAACTATCTGGCAGCCTGACTTCAACCTCCTCCTGCCGCTCCTGCCTCTCCGCTCATGGTGGACGACGTTACCACTGCGATCACCACCCTTCACAATGACCTGGAAACTCAGCTCACCACCCTCGAAGTGCACGTGAGTTAGAGAACTGCTGCACCAGCTCCTGCCGATCGCACCCCGGTCCCATCTCAGGCAAAGGCCGGCTGCACCTGGTCTTATGCGATGGCAGTCATCTCTTCGCACCCGGCTGATCCCGCGCATGCACCGAACCCTCCATCCTGCCCCAAGGCTTCTGAGCTCAAGCGCGCACTGCCACCTAAGCATGCTTCTGCGCCCGTGCAGTATGTGGTTCGTTGGTCGGGCAAAATGCCCGAACACCTCATCTCGACCCCTCCTGCTGTCACGCTGAACGACGTTAACTGGGCCCTGGCACTGATCTCGACCACGGAGGGCCTCACCACCCTAGCTGCCTACCCCAGCACCACCGGCAACCTCGTCCTCGTCTTCTTGCCTGCCACCTCGCACACCCGCATCGACGCCCACCTCCCAACCATTCACCTAGCCTTGGGGATCGGAGCTGATCAAACTATCTCCAGGGATAGTAAATGGTCTCGTGTTCTTCTCGGCAACGTGTACACCAGGACCTTCCCCAGTGCTGAGGTCCACTCTCCCTCTGCCTTGTCAGAGGAACTCCTCAAGAACCCAGCCATCAAGTGCCTCTCCATCACCCAACCTCTGTGCTGGGCACGTTGACCTGAGCTCATCGACAGTGCCTGCTTGTCTGTCGTCCTCGGCTTTGAGGACTCAGATGGCACTGCTCTGGCCACCATCCTCTGCACCCTCCTCTTCACCTTCAGTGCACACGTCACTACGTCACGATGGTGCGAGAAGCGCATCTCTGACAGTGCACAAGGTATTGGGCATATGGCCACCTCTCCCAAGAGTGCGTCAGACCGCTCCGCTGCCGTGTGTGTGCTGGCTGTCATCATGAAGATTTGCATCATTCTCAATGCACCTCATGTGTGAAGGAGAATCGCGCTGCCTCTGATCTTTGCCTGCACTCACGGTGCATGAACTGTCGTGGCCTCCACCATGCGGACTCGATTCAGTGCCTAAAGCGGGCTGAGTACTGACCCCCTGCTGCCCTCAACACTGACCTACTTGGTGCAGGCACGATCAGCTCTCCCATCGCTGGCCCATCTTCGAAGGCGCATGATGGTGATGTGGACATTGTCATGTAGTTGTCTATCCGAATGACTGATTTGCTTTCGCATTTACTGCCTCCCCTATGTTGCCTTCACACTTGATGGTGACTTACTCATAGTTACAATGTTACGTGTATCTTCAGGTCACCATGCCGCACATAGCGCAGGGTATAAATAAATGTTCAAAAAAAAGGGTGTGACATAGTCATAATATGTTTATCATCTTTGATTGAAAAAGAGTGAAAAAGAATTTAAAATGTTTATTGGCTTAAAATGAGCATAATATTACCATAGTACTATATCTTCATGTCATGATACTATTATATACAGTGACCCACAAAATTGTTGATAAGATTGCTCACTTCGACTTGTATAGTGAATATCTCCCCAACCAATGGGTCAACTACATTGTATAAGGACTCATTGGAAAGCATATCATCATGGCTTTCTAACACAGTTTTAGTCATATTTTTATCACATTTTCATCCCAAGATATTTACTAATCTTTGAGGGTCACTCTTATCAACAGTTTTGTGGCACACACACAAGTTCTCAGAAAATTGTGATTCTTGATGTGTTCACAGGTTCTTTGTGGGAATATTAATTGATGTTCATGTTTCAATATGAACAATGTACAAACAGCCATACACAACTCTTCACACTCAACCAACATCATGCCAAAAGCTGTTGCTACTGAAACTGTCAACCATGTCATCGCTTTGCTTCAGAATGGCAAATCTCTTCGAGAAATTGAAGCTTTGACTGGTCTACACTACTTGACCATCAGTAAACTACGCTTCACACACTGTCCCACCATTTCTAAGGCCAAAGGAGGATGACCTTCCCTTCTTTCTACTGCCAATCTTCGCTATACTACTCGACTCATTGGGACTGGCAAGGCTACCACATCTCCTGCTGTGGCCAGAGCTCTTGGAGATGTTACTGGGAGGGTTGTCAATGCAGAAACAGTGCAAAGAGGGTTGAAGAAGGCAGGAATGAAGGCTGTAGTAAAGCGCAGAAGGCCTTTACTTGCTGCAAGGCATCGAAAGGAGAGGATGGACTTTGCTTTGGCTCACCAATATTGGACTGTGGAGGACTGGAGAAGGGTGGTATGGTCAGATGAGACAAAGATTAACAGGATGGGGTCAGATGGAAGGAAATGGGTGTGGAAGAAGCCAGGGGAGAGCCTCAGTGATAGGTTGGTGAAAGGGACCCAGAAGTTTGGAGGTGGATCCTTGATGATGTGGGGCTGTATGGGCTGGGATGGTGTGGGGTATGCCTGCAAGATTGATGGCAGGATGGATGCAGACCTTTATGTTAGCATTCTGGAGGATGAGCTGCAGAATAGCCTGGAGGATTGGGGCAAAATTGTGGAGGATGTGGTGTTTCAGCAAGACAATGACCTCAAGCACACCAGCAAGAAGGCCAAGGATTGGTTCAAAGACCATGATTTCAACACTATGATATGGCCCTCTCAATCCCCAGATCTCAATCCCATAGAGCATTTGTGGGGTCATCTCAAAAGGAAGCTTGCAGAGTATCAGGAGCCACTAAAGGGAATTACTGAGTTGTGGGAAAGGGTGGAGAAGGAATGGGAGGCTATTGAGAAGGAAGTGTGTCAGAATCTGATTGAAAGTATGCCAAGGAGGGTGCATGCAATGGTGAAGGCAAAGGGAGGCTATACCAAGTACTGAAAGTACAAGTTTTATAGAACCTGGATATGTGCCACAAAACTGTTGATAAGAGTGACCTTCAAAGATTAGTAAATATCTTGGGATCAAAATATGGTAAAAATATGATTAAGACTGCATTAGAAAGCCATGATGATACGCTTTTCAATAAGTCCTTATATAATGTAGTTGACCCAGTGGTTGAGGAGATATTTACTATACAAGTCGAAGCAAGCAATCTTATCAACAGTTTTGTGGGTCACTGTAGTACTATCTCCTCAGGCTGTAACACTGTTATAGTATTAGCCTATATAGTACTGACATAGTATTAACATTTCAGATCTTACTACTAGCTTAATACTGGGATAGTGCTAGCATACTGCTGATATCAGCAGCTTAGTCATTCCTTTAATGAGTGAAACACTCAATAATTTGAGATATAAAATGATAAAGATATTGAAGAACAAAATTTTTCATCATCTTTACTGTCAATTTGTGATAGAAGGATTTAAGATATTTTTGATGTCTTTTCTTATCAGAGATGATAAAAAGATTGAAAGATAAAATAAAATAAAAGTGATTATTTTTATCATTTTGCAATCTTTTAAATAAAGCTTTCATTTTCTTTTGGTTAAAGATAATGAACATATTGTGACCATGTCATATCATTATCATTCTATGCTAAACCAGTACTAAAATATGAAGGTTAATAATGTAATTAAATGTTCTTAGCACTAACATACTAGTAACCTCCAGACCTTAGTACTAGCATAGTGTTAGTGTAATATTAACATTTAAACTTCAGTACTAGCATAGTATTGGTATAATATGAACATTTAGTATTTAGTACTGATCTTTAGAACTTAGTACTAGCATGGTACTAATCTCCAAACCTTAGTACTAGCTTAATACTAACACAGTACTATTACAGTACTGCCTTCTAGGGCATTAGCACTAGCATGTTGCTAACATCTAAAAAAACTTCATCGCAAGTTATTGGCTCAGTATATGTGTTATGGTTTGCTTCGCAGATGTGTATCATAAGCTATATAATGGCTATGCAATTTGCATAAGCTGTTTTGCTGCAATAATTGTCTCTTTAGGTCACATTGAGTGCTCATATGATTGAACTAAAATTGTTATTACTGCTCTATTTGTATCTGTTCAACTAGGCAATTAAGACACACTCAGCAACATATATGTATAACACATGATTCTTGTCAAATAAGTTATTTTAAAAGTGCATACTATTAGTAATTATTATGTGAACAGTTTATTTGAAAATGTTCCTGTTGAAAGTTTTACTTTTACATGCTGTCAGTTAATGTATGATAGAATTGATGACTTTTATCACTGGATGCATGACCTTTGATGTTTATATACAAGTTGCCATATATCACTTAATCTCATATAACAGCACAATGTTTCTTGATTTATCTTTTTTAATACTCTGCATTGTATATTTTCTGTCACCATAAATTTTTGCTGCCTTATTAGCATATTAAATAAGAGAAGCACAGAGTCATGTATATGTGTATATAGAGCTCACAAGCATAAAAGGCATCTGATTGAGTGAGCAAAAGAAGAAAATTAACATATATAATGAATCTACTATTTGCATAGTACAGCTCAGAATGGAGATGTATGATGAGAGTGACATAACTGAAGTTCAGAAACTCAATCACAGCCAATGAAGCACAGTCAAGACTGAAGCTGATGTAACACTATCACATAAGAAGGCATGATCATTGATAAGAATGTCTGCTTTGAAGATCAGATAAAACTATCTGCCAGTTGCACAGATTAGCATACAGTCAATATAAGCAACTGAAAACTTACCTTCAATCAAGTGTCGAGCAGATCAAATTACCATGATATCAGTGAGGACCATTATCCTGGATATCTCTTTGTAAAACTTCTAATGGTTTTTCTTTGAATGATCTTTGAGATTAATGCTGCACTTGCACAAAAGCTCAGCATTTTTTAGATTCTTAAAAATGACTTTCTCAATATGACTGAACAGATAAATGATCTTCATCATCCTTTAAGTTGTGCTGGTGATAATTGATCACAAGACATTGTGATAGACCTCTTGTGTTGTGCAGGTATTGCTGACATGCAACATGATGAAAAAGAATCACTGTGAAGGTCACCAACAATAATATCCCTCAAATAAGATGCACTTTATTGTTGACCAAGTTCACCTTCTTATAGTTATATTGACCACTTTGAGCACTAGTCATCAAGTCTAAAGAGTATTACCCTTCTGATCATAGTGCTAGCATAGTGTCAGCATATAAATCTGAGTATTAACCTATGTACCTTAGTGCAAGCTTAGTATATGATGATAATGGTGTGACATAGTCATAATATGTTCATCATCTTTGACAAAAAAGAGTGAAAAAAAGATTTTAGACATTTCTATCATAACTTTATCTGACAAATTATAAATGATCGAAGAAATAACTATTAATATTTGTTCAACCCTTTTTCAATCTTTTATCATTCTTCAGGAGAAAAACTGCTGCAAATTCTAAACCCTTTTATTGCAAATTGACAGTAAAGATGCTTAAAAACTTGAACTTATTTTTAATATCTTTATTATCTTTTATGTTAAATTATTATTTAGTTCACTCAGCACTTCTAGTTATAGAACTAATAAAGTGTTGATATATAAATCTGAGCATTAATTATTATACCTTGCTATTAACTAGCATAGGATGATAAAGTCTAACATAGTTATAATGTCTTCATCATTTTTATAAAGAAATGAAAACATTTAAAATCCTTTATTAGTTACTTCTGTGACTCTAGTTGATATGCAACTATACTCTTCATATAAGCCACTTTATGGCACTATTGAACTTGATTTCTACAAAATGTGAAGATAATCTTAATGAAGTGCATTCAAGGATATCTATGTTATAAAGAAGCATTTGATATAAATGCTCAAGTTCTGATGATTATAAATGATTTTTGTAATCTTATCTGAAATTTGACTGATAATAATGAAGTATTCTGCTATTGCTCTTATAAAGGGTTTACTAAATAAAGCAATTATTAATTTGAGCACAAAAATGTTAATGAAAAATTCACATTCTTGCAGCATCTTTACAGTTAAATCATGACAGATGCATTTGGATATTTGGAA